TATGCACCCACCTTATATTAGTAGCTCCATCTATTTCCCTAGTTTGTTTGAGAAGGTCATGTGAGACAATATAAAAACCTTACTAAAGTCAAGATATACCACATCTACCATTTTCCTCCATCCACAAGGTTTGTTACCCTGTCAAAGAAAGCTTTTGGATTGGTTCGACACTATTTGTTCTTGACAAATCCATGCTGATTGTTACTTATCACTTTATTATCTTCTAGGTGTTTGCAAATTGATTGCTTAATTATTTGCTCCATTATCATTCTGGATGTTAAGCTGACTTGTCTGTAATTTCCCGAGTTGTCCTTTTATTCCCCTTTTATAGATTGGCATTATATTTGCCCTTTTCCAGTCCACTGGAATCTCTCCCATCTTCCATGATTTTTCAAAGATAATCGCTAATGGCTCAGATACCTCATCAGTCGGCTCCTTGAGTATTCTTGGATGTATTTCATCAGGCCCTAGCAACTTGAAGACAATCTATTTTGTCTAAGTAACATTTAACTTATTCTTTCCCTGTTTTATCCTCAGACCATACCTCATTTTCACTGGCATTCACTATGTTAGACATCCAGTTGATACCAAATCCATAAGTGTCTGTAAATCTGCTTAGGTACCAGACTCTACTATAAAGTCTGCATTGATTTCACACTTTGTTCATCCTTTTTTTTAAAAGGGTCTAACAAGGCAGAAGGAGCCACCATCTCTCGCTGATGGCCAATATCAAGAGGCAACAGAACAAAAGGAAATGTAGTGAAAAAAATCATTCAGAGCAAGGGCATCTGTAAAAGGTAAAATGTGAATATAGAAGCTGCTAGACTTTATTATTAATAAATACTCACTGCAACATTAGCTCTTTCCTGTTCACAAACTGATCTGATTAACATGAATACATTAATCTATGCAAACACATTTCAGCCTATATGGTACTCTGAAACGGTTTGCTCTGACTACTCACAGTGAGAGACTGGTCATCTGAGTCACATGATAGTGGGTCTTTTTTAGCTGTGAGTGGATGCATACCTTTTTTTTTTAAACAGCAGAACAAGTAGTAATAAAGTAATAGTGGTTTGAGAACATCACAGTTCTATTAAGAGTTTTCAAACAAATCTATTTTATACTAAAATATGTGAAGTTTTCAGGATTTTACAAATATTTTTAACATACAGTGACAGTTGCTTGAACTGTCAAACAAGGAACAAGATGGCCACATGAATAACAGCAGAGCAAACTCACATATATGAATACAAGACTCTTTGAACACTATGTGTGTTCAACAAATTGATAGTTTTCATTCAACACATCCAAGATACATGGAGAACACTAAATTGGGACACATACTGCCAATGTTCATGTTTCACAACCATTTTCTGAGGTTTTTGTAAAATTATTTTATTACTTATGAAACTAAGATGCATTTGTGTCCTTTATAATAAATTGGTTACATCGTTTTTGTAAGTCATTAGCATTGTTTCCATGTCTATTCAATCCTTTTTCTGCTAAGACTGCCAACAAAGATGCCAGCTGTGTTGGTGGGTTTGTGATATGGATACTCGTTGAAGCAGTCTGAGACCATCTACTCCTTTAGCAGAAACCAAAATATTGTTACATTTCCACACTAGTGAAATAATTTTTTAAAAAAGGTTGACATTTATTGTATTTTTCACTGCTATTAAAAAGTAGGGTAAAAAGTACTGCAGGTGGTTGGGGGGAAAAATACATGTGCACAATAATGCCAAGAAAAAGAAAAGGAAACATTGCTTGTCCTGAATAAACTTGAGGCCTAATAAGATGACTACTATTCAAGAGATTTAAACCCTCAGCAAGAAACATGAGAATCCAGTAGAAGAGACTTTTTTTATTGGAAGGATTTCTCCCTTCCCTCAAAAGGCAAAGAATAATCCAGACTATTCTAAAAAGCACAAAACAAATCTCTGTGAAATCCATTCACATCCACTACAGCCAGGGCCGGCTCCAGGCACCAGCCCACCAAGCATGTGCTTGGGGCGGCACCTGGAGGGGGGCGGCGCGGCGCTCCGGCCCGAGAGCAGGGCCGCGACTGGGCTCGCCGCCCTCCCCCCGGCGCTCTGGCTGCTGGGGAGAGCAGAGCCCCGGCCGGGCTCGCCGCCCTCCCCCCGGGCGCTCTGGCTGCCGGGGAGAGCGGAGCCACGGCTGGCTTGCCGCCTTCCCCCTGGCGCTCCAGCTGCTCGGGGACAGCGGGGCCCAGGCCGGGCTCTCTGGCCGCCGGGGAGAGCGGAGCCACGGCTGGCTTGCCGCCTTCCCC